CGTTCAGGTAATGACGGCTGGATGAGTACCTGCAATCTTATGACACTTTTCTCACTAGCCTTGCCAACCAGAACTGCGCGATGCATAAAGACCCCGAAGAACCCTTCAAATTTCTGCGTCCTCAGGCCTCCAGACCCCAAGACAAAACACACAATGATGCAAACGACGTTCAACAACCCATAAAACGATCCACATATCCGGGCTAACACACTAGCGCCTCCCCTAGTTCACGCCTCGAAACGGGTGACAGCAGACCAAACGTTCCCTGAGGCAACTTCATGTTCGTTTCGCACTATTGATTTGTTTTGGATTGGGGATTCAGGTACAGGGACCGGGTTGCTGGGAGGGGAGCCGTCACACTAAATTTATTTGTGAGTCTGGGTCAGGGTCCACCGCGTGGAATGCTGCTGTTGATGTAAGGATGAAGCGACGATGTACAGCGATGAGTCTGTCGGTAGGATGGATATGGACGTAATACGAACGATGTGGCGCACGGGAAGTGTTCATGTATCGAAAAGAAGAATGCAATGACTGCTATTGTACATGCTACGTGGGAAAAGCAAAAGGTCATAAAGCTTGTATAAACTTCCAATATATGCGCAAAAGCAGATGGGTATGATGAACACCAGAAAAAGCTTTTGCCGCCCAGCAGTGCATTAGTACCTTTCCCATCCCCACAAACGCCTTCGCTGTAAAAAATATCGCATCAATCCGCTTCAAGTCCTGGCGCTCACTTCGGAAGCTGCAAACCGATCATACTCCTCTTCTTCAAACTGAGGAAGCGTCTCGGGCTGCGGAATTCCCAGTCAATCCTCGGTGTCCAGCCGCCCTCCGCAACGACGTCGGGTATACTAGGCGCACCGCTGTCGCTTCGTTGGTGGTATGCTGGTTCAGGCGCCTCCGGTCCATCTCCTCCTGTCGTACGGCTGAAGACGCTCCTCGTCGGGCTCTTGCTCATGCTGAAAGTCGATTCAACCGGGCTAGGGAGTTGCTGCCACGGCCCTCCAAGTCTTCGGACGATTCTCGCTTCCTCACTCTCCCGCCATCGCTGCTTTTGCTCCGCGGTCGCAAAGGTAGCTAGTGTGCTGGTGGACTTGCTGATGAATGAGGATAGGCGTTGGGAGATGATGGAACTGCGCGCTGATCTATCTGCCGTCTTTGGTACTGCCAGAGAGCTGCGGGCCGAATTCCTGTTCAGGTCCATGTCTGGTGGTGCAAGAGAGCTGCGCGAAGAGTTTCCGAGATCTATCTCTATAATCCTGGGGGCAGGGAGCTCCTCGACCTTCTCGTTCTCTAGCTCTTTTTCTTCGTCTTCACTGAAAGATCTGGTCGACTTGTTGTCATCTTGTACGCTGTCCGAGGAAGTAGGTCGCGAGTCTTGCATTTCCACGTCACCCATTCGTGATCTAGCGTAGCTACCAGGCCCCTTTGCGCCATTGGGGATGTGCCAGCGGAGGTCTACGCGAAGTATGGCGTACATGAGTACTGTCTGAATCTCCACGAGGAAGTTGAAAATGTAGAATGGTGCCTTGCCGAGATAGCCTGGTAGAGGTTGTGATCTCGGGACTGGTGTCTGGAAAGCAACACCACAGCGATACCATGCGCCAATAGAGAGGAGTGTGGTGCTAATCATCAGGACTATGACTTTAGTACGAAGACGGCCCATACCGAAATGATCGAGCGGCGAATAGGGAACGAGAAGCGTGAGCATCGTCATCGGCAAAGGTAGTGTAGCGACGATGGCCAGGAAGGTTGCGCCGTACTGCTGGAAGCCGCGGTCGGTCGCTCGAGTTCCTGCGTTAAGAGTATAAAAGCTCTGAACTGTAGCTGTAATGACAGCGACAAGTGTCAAGCCGATCAACGCGTAAAGGGCTTTGAACATGATGCCAAACGCAGGATGCCAACCCACCGACGGATGCGTCGACCTTACTAGGCGCATCGCGAAAACGAGATTGATGACGAATAGTATAAGAACACCTGCTGCGATGAAGATCTGTGCAGCAATCGCAAGTGGAATGTTGGTTGGATTAGAGACCGATGCGAGTCGCAAGATTGATGTCAATATGCGTTCCATGCAGAAGACTTCGGAACAGTTAGCATCCATTTCATCTAGAATGTGGCTATACATACGGAAGATGAAGAGGTTTGGTAAGAACTTGTGACCTCGTGCTCTGTTCTTTTGGAATATCTTCATGTGTACTGCTGCTCCGACCATGAAGAAGAACATGAACACAGTTTGGGCAGGAATATCGATGCGTTTCACTGGAGGACCACCCAGAGGCCATACCATAGGAGCATATGGTGGCGCTTGTGATGCCTTTTCAACGTCAGCGACTTTATCTCTCTCCAAGTTCCAGGCCCATCAGACAAGCATATGGGTGGGGTGAACTTACCATAGAGGGTGGCATGCCGCCCTGTGATGCCATGGTATCGCTGATTGCGTTTGTTCGACTTTTCGGACCTGATTTACGCCGGCGACAGGCGATGCGTTGGAGATGAGAGTCGAGACTAGTCAATAGTCGGAGTACCAGGACGTCGAAGCGATACGGGGAGCTTCGCGCAGCGAGGCGCAAGCCCACCATATATGTTGCGCCGCACCATTTCAATCATCACTCCACTTGTGTCAACACGCCTGCAGAACACTTGTGCTATGTTTTGTCCATGCGTCCAAACAGTAGTGTGGTGTTTGATGTTAGTGTCTGAATCGCGAAACCGAGACACCGATCGCTATTTCGGGACCGCCGCTAGAACAACGTCAGGAACTAATACCACGTTCTGACCACGGGAGCCCTGTACATCGAATGTCAATGTTCGATGACCAACATCTTCAGTGCCAAAGTCATCGATCTCACACAGACGTCGTTAGCTGGCTTACATGCTCGAATAAAGCGACGCCACACCTCAACTGCAATACAGCTCGACCTGGCCAATGTTGCGATGGGCCAAACGGCTTGCGATTTAGAATATATTTCATTCATCCTGTCCGTCTCTTGCTCAGTTATTCACCGAGACTGCGAACGTATGCCGTGCATCATAGTCCGCATTCATGAACATTGCTACTACTAAGGAACCGAGGCGTTTCAAGAAGCCCCACGAATACCCGGACTGTATGCTATAGCTGACACTGCCTATGGTGGTATATTTCGCATCGTTCCCCGGCTCGCAATTTGAAGCCTGTGCAGGTTCGAAGGCCTGACGTCTGTCATCGAACGCTGTTAGGCATGCAAGAGCTGAGTCTACCGAATACCCAGGTGTTGGACGTCCCGAAACATATCACTCTATTCTCCCCCAGCCCTATTACTGACCTCCAGGGTCCCCTGCCGTCTTATCTGCGTAATATGAATCGTCAACGTCGTCAATAAGGGCTGGCAGTCTTGCCGTCACTCTCCGTCTCGCTTTGACCGTCCATGTGTGTTGGATATCAAAATCGGTTGATCTTGGCGCAAGATGTGGGTACTTGATTGAGTTGGTAGTGACCAGTCTCAGCAGCACAATCGTTGTCGTGAGCTTCTTCGTGAGCTTCCTCGTGTAGTGTCTCATCGCCCAGTTCAGGGGCATGTCTATCATCTGTGCCAGCCTGTAGAACGTCCCGGCATCTCGTCAATGTCAGTTGTCCGAGTCTTACGTGGGTTTGGGCGTTTTCAAGTCCTGACGAAGTGTTCCCACTAAGGATCATTGATGTTTTGCCCACAACTAGAGCATTTGCGGTAGTCAAAGCCCGACCCGCCGATAAAGGTGGTGACCCAGCTCGTAGAACTAGTTCGCGCTTGATACCAGGCTTCTGTCTCTTAGTCGGGTTGGCGATCCTTTGGCGGTTGACACTTTTCTTGGGAACGGGCTTTAGTTCGGAACCAACAAACCCGTCAAAAGCATCTCGAAGGTTTGGACAACATCGCTGCATGTTAGTAGGTAGTTGTGTGGGTCTCTCCAGGGGCTCTGTGCGCATTCGCATTGGTTCGGTCTTGGGACGGCCGACAGAGTCTGGCGGTTGTGTTGTCTTCGGTATCAGCCTACTCTTCGAGATGATGACGCCGCCTGAAGTCTGCGTGAAGGTCAGCAGTGTCAGCGTTGACTATTGTTGACATACGGAGATGTGCAACGTATTCGTAAGATGTATTTGGCTATCTTCGATAGGGTCCACGACCGCAATGGGAGCAGCGACTTCATGAGTAACATCCTAAAGTCAACAGCGTTAGCTACCTACGATGGAATCCGTGGAAGCTCCTTACACCCGGTAGGGGCAGTCCATCCAGTGTAGTAGTCCGCAGCAAAGCGAGCTCATGTACTGGTAGACACCGTTTCCGAGTGCTCGAAAGCCCGTTGCGAAGTCCTTGTCTGCTGCCGCTACCAGAGGCTAGACGGAGGTCTGGTGGTGGTGAACGTGGGATGTCGTATACAGATGGCGCATTCGTGAGACCATCCAAGACAGATCGATGTTCTTCGATATTGGTATCTAGCGGCTTGTCGGTAGTTGCATCTTTCTGACACAAGTTGGTTCCGACGACTTCTGTCTCCGCAGATGATTTTGGGGGCAAAATTGCTGGCTCCCTGCCCGGTTCCTTGACTGACACGTCGCGATGTAATCCGGAGAACGGGGCAGCGGAGTCTACCACGTCCAGATCTTGGATAGGCGGTCTGAAACGTAACGGACGGTCTGGCATGCCTCCCACACATGAAAGAAAGGCGCTCAGCCGTAAACGATTGCCGACGAAATTAGCATCGTGCGCCATGTTGCCTGAGACGGCGGTTCACATGTGGGTTAGTGCGAGCGAAAGGATATGTGATCAAAGTCGCATGTCGTGCATACGAAAGCTGCAGAGTATGCTGTATGCTGCAGCGAAGCCTAAGGTTGCAGTCGCGGAGACAGATGGTGGCTGCCAAGAGAGCCATGACGACGCGGGTCCCGAGGTCCATGCGCCTAACGCGTCGCGAATCTTTCAATGTTGCGAAGACTGGAGGAAGTGGCAGAGGGCAATCGCAAGCTATCATAAGAACCCACCATGTCGATACCGTCCACACCGAGATGGCCTGCAGACGAAACGGGCGTGCCAGAGATAGCCGGCGACGAGTGCTTCGGAGATCTGGTAGACAAACTGTGCCAGTCAGTCGATGCATGTGAATGCGCAATTGTCCAGTAGCCTAACGCGAGAGTAGGTTCTTTGAGCATAAGATCAAGCTGCCACATACCTTCGAAGACTTGCGTCGATCGCAGGAGGGCCGGGCAGTCCAGCCTCTCATCGCATACCTGTCCACCCAAGTCGACCACCCTGCCCTCGTATCCGCTCTACTGTACGTCGAGGCAGCCCAGGTCGCTTTCATCAATACCGGATGATTGCACGTATGAGTGGAGAGCGCTGACCATATTGAAGAGCCCTGAAGGGGCATTTCTCTGCCTTGGAGGAAACCAGCGACGAGCCTGGTGTGAACGAAGCGCGAGGCTACGCATGCGAGTTCGTAGCCTGGCAATTCTTGACGAACCTGAAAGAAGCCGACATCATCGAGTCTCTGCTAGTAGAACTCCCGCCGGCAACGACGCCGACCACCTCCAACCCACCGAACGGCTACCACTCGGGCGAGAACGAACGCGACACCACACATGCCGACGAGCGGTCGCCTTTGCTTCCCGTATCCAACACCGACTACTTCGGCCACGCCGACTCTTCCAGATCACGCTTCGGATCGCTGATGTCACAATGCGAGAATCTCAGTGCATTGGAGCTTGCGACTGTATCTGGTGCGAAGAAGTTCCTGTCTCAGAGACCAGTCCAGAAGATCATAAATGGCTTGTGGAAAGGCGACATCGTATTCTGGGAGACCCTCAGTCTACACTCGGAGAAGAAGCCCAAAAAGTACAACCGGAAGCAGGCCGATCCCTTCTCCCGGCTACGCGTTCCATTGTACTTGAAGATTTTCGAGACACTCTTTTTCGCGGCATTCTTGGGACTGTACTACGCAGTTCTAGTGCAGCGAAACAACGCCCGAGTAACCATTCCCGAGATACTGCTATACGTGTGGATTGCCAGCTTCGCGTACGATGAATTTTCGGATTGGTTAGACGCAGGGCAAAGCTCGTTCTATGCCTCGGACTTTTGGTAGGCATGCGTTTCTCATCGCCGTTTTGATGGAGGCTAACGTCTTTAGGTGGACCTGGGACATCAGTATCGTCGTTGTGGGCTTTGTCTTCTGCATTATGAGGATTGTTGGATTGACTACAGCCAACGCTACCACCATCGATCTTGCCTATGACGTACTCGGACTAGAGGCTCTCTTCCTCGTGCCGCGTATCTTCTCTCTCTTGAGTCTCAATCGATATTTTGGCACCCTGATTCCGTGTCTCAAAGAAATGACCAAGGACTTCATCAAATTCCTGTCACTGGTAGTCATCCTGTACCTGGGTAAGGCGTCCGACGCTTTAGTAGCTGCAGCCAATGCTCACCGATATAAAGGGTTTCTAACTACTTTCGTACTGCTGGCTAGAGATAGTAGGTTCAATGCGAAGCAGATGGCAAGTTGTCTATCGGGGTCACCGACGTGCCAACTGCTGACTCGTGCAACGTAGAGTTGGATCCTGATCAAGGTCTTCTTCGGGTAATGGTGAACATCACGCCACTGTCGCTATACCAGCTAATGCCTTCTCAGTTCTAGCTACCTAGGTTTCGGTGAGTCAAGCCTCAGGCAACGGCCAAGCGAAGGCATACACCGATTCTCGTCCACCAGTACTGACGACAGCTGCCTGCAGATGTCGCCGAAGAGATGTATGCACTCCTCCGATCAACAGTACCAATGGCTTGCTAATGCCTGCATAGCTCGCCGTTCTTCGGACCTCCTGTAATGGTACGAGTCTGACTATTTGGAATGCATCGCATCGCGGTCTGCTGATCACACACTAGCTTGTTTTCGTCACTTTGACAAACATCTTGTTGATTACAAGCCTCATATCGCTTTTGAGCAACTCGTTGAGTAAGGTAATGGGCTTTTCCATTGGTTCCCACTGCTTTGCAACCTCAAATCGCATGCATGTCCATGCATGCCAAGCGCAAAACAACGGTTAACGCCCGACTGGACCGCCTCATCTCCATTGCAGTTTCCCCAGAGTGCATTCGCATTGGGGTTAGCACTTGATTTCTTCCGGTTGGTCTTACGGGGGTGTGATACAGCCCCATTGGGATTGCAACAGGAGATTTCTCGCAGGCACTGACTGCCCTGACCCCATGAACAACCGGCTATAGCTTATCATCTCTGGCTATATTACTTTCCAAAGGATCGATATTGACGGTGAACAGGTTCTTGATCATGCGCGAGATGAATATTTGTTCATGTACGTCGGCATGATCCAAGGCAACTTTCTTCAGGCACTGACGATGCAGCTATTCCGTATACGTGCTCGAAGCATCAAGCTCGAATCGATTGACATACTTCCTGCCTCCACTGGTAAGTATGTTGTTCAGTGCTGTTATTATGGGGGAGGTTAAAAGCGGGCATTAAGCGCCGGGTCGTTCAACGCCCAATCGACACAGCCTCTATGGCCATCGTGGAAGACGAGCTCAGAACCAACCAGTCAAAGCTTCGTGGCCGGCTCGTGAGGGAAGCATCGTCGGCGGATGCTCTGCCGTTGTCACGTCACTGACAAGCCTTGTTCTGGCGCTCAGGCTTTCTCGACTCAAGGCCGCTGTGAATCCCTGCGAACCCACAACGCAGTGGTATCCACAGCCGTGCTCAACTTTGCAAGGCTGACCGGCTTCCAGAACCTCATTCCGCTAGTCATTCGACCGTTGCGGCTCGTCATCCCCTCCGAGCGACTCCGGAGCGTCCGGATCGTCTTGCTCAAGGCCACGCATCTACCTCTTGTATTTGCAATCTGGGCTTACGAGCAGATGACCGATACCCGTAATCTCGATGTGAAAGTGACATCTTTCAGCGGACCGCAGACACCAACCCCACCAAAAAAGGCTCTTCGGTTGCCGGTCAACTCTCCACGCCTATTGATGGCGGAAGCACCAAACTCATTTGCGAGGAAGCCCCAGAAGCCCCAGGCACGAGCAGGGTCTACAGAAACCGATGCTCCATTGAAGGCACTAGTCCTTAAGCTTTCAACGCAAGTTGAAGAACTTACTGCGATGGTGTCGCAGCTCCAGCAGCAGCGCGAAGCGAGCACATCGGTCGCTTGATGGCCGGCGCTTGCAGCCGCGGGAATATAGGTACATTTTGCTAAGGATGAGCACTGCAAATCCGGTTAAAATTCAAGTTGATCTTATCTGTCTATCCCAAGAGCTACTCAAACAAGCGTGTATGGAGTTGAGGTGTTGGTGTCTCACTTTGGCAACGGCATTGGGGTGACACATGAATGAACGATCAACGTCAGATACAGGCGGGACATCCTTTGCCAGACTGGCCAGTTTCATGGGGATGCACATCGAGCAAGGGTACAACCGCCCTCTCCTCTTGCGCCTCAAAGTCCGGTCGGCGCAAGGATGCCTGTGTTCGGCCCGCTAAGGCCTAGCTACCCGGCTGTCTGGTTCACTTGCACATACCCTGGTCTCGAGCTGCATCCATCGCCCCCCTGCCACTCTTTCATAGCCCCATGGAGCTAACAGGCGCCTGCCGCGTAGGCGGCTCGAGCTTTCTGTTCATGCTGCCCTGTCTAGCATAATTTCAGAATCTGCCTAACACTCAAAAGCCCACTGTTTAACGTAGGCTCCGAGAACGCACTGGCGCAGTATACAAATCAATTCCATCTTGGAGTTAGTCGCGCATTGCATCGTACAGATATAACTCGTCCCGGAACGCCCTGCAGTTGGCATCCTCATCCAGCTTCTACCACATCATTTCTATCTTTGCCTGTCTTCATTCCTCGCCAACATACTTGACCTCAAAGACTTGTGGACTACATTCATCCCTTTGAGATCCTTTCATCATGTACTCGTACGCGGACCAGCCCACGCCACCTTTCAACTCGCCTTACCAACAACACACATCGCGGGCAGGCTCCCTACTTGAGTCACCCTATCCTTCCCCAAGACAACAGGAGCCTCGGCCCTACACACATGGTCTTGGTTTATATCCAGTCCACCCTTCGTTGAACACTCTCCCCCCATCGCCCCAACAATCGGAAGGCTGGGTTGGCGCTCAGTATCCCAACGGCACCTCGGCAGAGGCCACTGCAGATCCCTATCTGTCAGGAGCTTTCGATCACCCAGTCCCTCATTCGCCAGTACCGTGGAGTTCCGCCCAGGACTCACCTCCTACATCCCCAGGCGTGTACAGTCAACGCGCGATGTCTGCTACTTACTCGCACGATGGCTCAGACTCTGAGCCTTACTCTGATATCAAGTTAGAGGGCCCGGCATGGAACTCAGCAGCTCGCATCCAGTTTGGCACAGAAGTGCCAGTCACTATGGGTGGTCCGTCCTTATCAGGACATCCACCACTCACAGTAGCTCCCGATCGGCTTAGCACACACATGTACTCCTACGAGAGTGCGTATCCATCACCAGCTATGCCTGGATACGGCTCGGGACCGGTATACAACTACAGCAACCGTAACCCCATACGGGCATCGCCAGTGATCAGGACTGCCAATGCACGAGCTCGGACTGCACGAGCTCCTCGAACTGCCGTCGCAAAACGAGCACGCAACCGCAGGCACACTGATCCCGCCAATGCTGCCTACCACTGCCTGATTTGCACCGACAGGGGTTTTGCCAGGAAATACAACCTCAACCAGCACATGCTTACACATGCGGCCGAGCGAAAGAAGCCGAATGTTTGCCCACACCCTCAGTGCGATAAACACTTTGTGCGGAAGACAGATCTGGCTCGCCACAACCAGAGCGTGCACACGAATGACAGACCTTGGAAGTGTGCAAGGTGCCCTGCAACCTTCCCTCGTAAAGACACGCTTAGCAGGTCAGTAGTAACCTGATTGTGTGTTCATTTCATCTTGCTAACAACTTCTCAGACACGAGGAAGATGGATGCAGTCGCCGCACCGAAGTGAATGCCGATGGCGTAGCTTTCACGCGTTCGAAACTCTGATCGACGGCATAGGTCAGACTCAGCCGCTACATGACTCTTCATCGATCAGCGAGGGCTGTCCTGCACCAGCACTTGATACATGGAGCACGGAGAGACACGTCAGAAGCAGTTCGTTCAGTGGGAGATCCCACTACGGGTCGTAGCAAATTGTATCACTGTCTTGTTTCAAGGTTTTCTTTACATTGCGTGGGTGGAAATTTGCAACAATGGCGTTTTAGTGCACTCCAAAGAATGTGAGAGCTATAGAGAATCCGTAGCTACGTGGTAAGGTTGCCCTTCTTCATCGCATAACGGCCCCTCTTGTTTACTAGGCGAATATGATCACGCTCGTTCACACTACACCATGAAACCTCTGCAATGTAGAAAACTCAAATCATGAACAGCTCGTCTAGCATGGTACCCTAGCAGTCTAGGGAGGCTGGAAGGACGCTACCTAGATCGATCCAAGGAGACTCGCTGCAATAAGCCGGCACTGTCCACAACGTCTTTTTGTACGACCCACCTTAGGCGGGGATACGCCGGGGACCACTACCGCAAGCCACGAAGCGCGACCCTTGTCAGATCAATCTTACATGGATGTGGGCTGTTTGTGAAGTGTTGCAGGTATGGTGCATGTTAAGCGCCCTCGATGTGAGCGAATTCACGCAGGCCGCATCTGACTGGCCAACGATACGCTGGGGAGGTGGCACGGTGAGATAGCTTGCGGACGGACCCACGATGCTACTAATTAGACGCAGCATGCTCTTTCGCGGGCTATATTACCTGTGATTTCAGTCCAAAATTAGTCTGGGGCAACTATAGCAACAAGGTCAGTCAGTGTGCGGATGTTGCTCATGCTAAGCTGGAGCGTTTCCACCACATCACGCATCGCTGCCGACCCACATCGCAAATCAATCCCGGACCTTGTCTCTGCTCCCTGTCCGTGTACTCCAGAGACTAGTCGCGTAGCGTTGTGATGGGCGCTTAATGTTTGGCCGTGTGGCCTTGTCTTATCTGGCTCGAGCCACGTCGGCTCGTTGGTTGCAGCCCTCGAGCACGCTAGTCCCCACACGTCACGGCCGCCAAGCTCTCTCCCACCATGATCCTCCAACGACCTCCCCAATCTGGCCGTGCTCGTTTCGACGCGTCTCTTTTCGCTTACCCTTCAACCCAGACCCGTCGCAATAACGGCGACCTTTGCTGCCTAACCCGGGATTCTGGGTCTGAGCCAGCCAGCAGCTGCACGTTGTTTTGGCCCCTAACATCCTTCCCCTCCTCCGCACTGATACAGGCGATGCGATCAGCGGCTTGCTCGACACGACGAACTGTGCATGACGACATCAAATCAAAGAGGAAAGGATCGTGCGACAGACGTTCTGTCCCAGGCGCCACTCAGGTGACGCTCGTCCTATGCGAGTGACAGCCCTCATATGCGACGGGACGGGACCTTCACACCCCATTATGGCTAGCCATCATCGCTCGGCCTCCACGCTCCATGCCGCGGAATCAAGGAACAAGTCACCTGTGCCGGGCCGGACAGGGCCATCTCGACTGAGACATTCTGCTGCAATGCACATCAGTCGGGTCGCAGTTTGGGCCATTGCAACATCGGCATATCTTTGCAATCACCTCCACATAGACTATACAGTCTGCATGTATTGCTGGGGATTGACGGCATACCTATACGAGCATCGCTTTATCTTCCATTGGTCAACTCATCAACCCAATAACATCATGAGAAAGGCCAAGCCTGTTTCCGCCCGGTCCAACAACGGGTTGGCACTGACGAGTACCAGCCTGTTGTACCACGACTTCGAGTCTCGCCCACCGCAGTGCTCGACCATGCTTAGCCCACACAGCAACGCGGGATGTATCGCTTGAACTCAATAATGAACGACCAATTGTGCCGCGCACCCGCCGTGTTCCTGCAGTGAGCTGACCGGAAGATCCACGTGTAATCTAAGCAGTCAGCAATCTACCATGCGACCAGCCGCACCAACTTTACGGGAAGGAAGGTGCATCGGTTGGCAAGTTTGTACACCATAAAGCGAGACCCAATATGCGTGGTTGACATGGGTCATACGGAGAAGGTCACGGGGACCAAGTTCTCGAAACAATCCTACGAAGGAACGTTTCATGGCCGAGCACTGACCGACCCATGTAGCTTATTGGACGTTCCGTTGTGACAATGCCAGAAGTCCAAGCAGTATATGGGTAAGAGGAACGTGGTTTGACATTGACGCTCATGACACACATTACCTGCTAGGCTGGCTGACAATCACGCCGGTGCAATCTCGCAGCCTAGTGGCAAGAAGAGATTCCGCCTCCGTGAAAGAAACCCCAGCGACGTCAAAATCCATAGTCATCTGTGTCCCTGCTTCTTGCGATGCCACATAGAAGACAGCCGAATGCTGTTCGTGCAATCTGACGTTCCAAACCTTGGTACAGGTTACTGGAAAACCACACACATGGCACTGGATACATACTGGACGCAACACCACGCGGTTGTCATGCACGCACATTTCCTGGCGCCATGTTGTGCGAATCGCGTTCCCCAAAGCGCTAGACGGCGCTTCTAGGTTCCGAGTCGATCGGTAAGGCGTTAAAAAAACCTGGAGTTGCCGCGATGCTTCCGCTGCCCGCGCGAGCCGCAAAACCCCTGCTAGCAATGTCTGGTGCCGCGTCCACAGTCCGCGATAGACGCCGCCTCGCTAGAGGTGTGCATTACAGCTAAAAACGACGTCGAATGGTGGCTGCTTTCAGCCCGCATGTGCGCTTCCTGTGAAGGTATGACATAGTTGGAAAATGAGAAGACGAACTCGGATATCTTTGCTCTCTTCCTCTACTCTTACTTTGCTTTACTGGCCCGTATCGTCATTCGGAAAGTGCGTGAGGTCACAGCTGGTTAGGCGCCCCCCTTCCACTTCGGTCTCAGCAAATTCTGTTCTCGCGTCGAGCAGGGGTATGGCGCTAACGGCTTCAATCGATCCGCCGGCTGCAGTGGAGCAGCTCAGGGCTTATGACAGTCTCCACCCACATACAGCGCCAGCCTGACTCTTGCAGTGGCCCTGAGTGCCGAAGCTACACAATACCCTGCAGAACCAGTGGAGCTATCAACGGGGAATCTGTCCTTACCTTGGAAGCATGGTATTTTG